TAGCGTAAAACCTTGCTTTGCAAAAAACACTTAAAACCCACAATAAAACATGTATCATAAGTTTCACAACGCTACCAACGGTAACGGCTTCTGAGTCGCACTGACGTTACGTTTTTATAAAAAGTATATAAGCACTTGATAAGATCGGCGGTTATACGGCATCATCCCCTTCTCAGGGGATGATTGCTTCAGATGAAGCTTTTAGTCAGTAAGAGTCTGACCTAACCTTGCTGTAGGGTACCCATAATAAGGATTACACATCCACTCCCCCGCCTGGCAAGAAACAAAAGAAAAATCGGCGGTTATCATTCATATTTAAAAAAAAAAATCGAATTGCTTTTGACTGTTTTGAGACGCAGTTTGACATTTTTAGATATTTAGTTGAGATACATAGATTGACATTAATGGGCTTTCTAATTTCCGATAAAGGAAATAAAGACTTGCTCAAATATATTGTGATAACTACAGACAGCTACGGAACCCTACACTGCGCGTGGCACGACACGTACTTGGCCGGTTTTTTTTATAATATATAAGTACCTACTAAGATTTACATGTCTTTATTTAATGCACGTTTTAAGTATACTACAGATAAAAAGAATATACGTCGTTGAATTCAGGTCATGACTCAAACGTCACACAACGTTTGCCATTTTAAGTAAGATGTGTGATTTGTGTCTCGTGTTAAATTGTTTCTGTAGGGATTTTTTTAAATCCTGCAATACATTTTCTGACTAAATATAAAAATAAGTTGTTGCATCGTTGGTCAACGATGATGAAAAAAAATAGTCTGCTAATTGTAATCACTTCCAAGTATGTATAAACTGTTTTCAGATATCCCACGATCAACAAATGTTAGTTATACTTATCCTGCTGACAACTTATAACGTTACTTAAATTAACCATGCAAATTATCAATGAAAACGACAGTGCTTAGTCTCAATAAAAAGAAGATAAAAGCTGAGAGGACATTAGGTACTATTTATTTGTTCTGCAAATGAAATGAAATGATAAATAGACTTCAAAGCCATGAATAAATTAATGCCTAAAACTAAATCTATATATAGGACATGGTAAAGTTTTGTATGAGCGACTGCCCTGGCAATGTATAAATACTATACTTAGTAATATTTAATGGTATTGTCATAATCGTATCAAATATTCAGCAGAATATTTATAATTTCTATGAAAAAAGGCTCGGGAACTTTTGATAAAGTCGCAATCTTGAAAATTATGAGAAGTCCTACTATGTCATTACCTTACCACATTTGATAAAAAATGTTGCCAATTATTTACTGAGTCATCAATTTCGCATTTTCTTTTAATCCTTCTTCCTATTTCTGTGATTAACTCTTCAAAAGTTTTTTTAAGCAAAAATAATTTGTTATCGTCGGCGTGACAGGAAATCTGTGAAGTTTTATTTTGTCCATTTGCAAAAATTAAAGAATAAATTATCATACAGCCTTGTCTTAAGCCTGAACAAAAAAATAAAATCTATTATTTTAGGCTTTCAGTGATTTGTTATAATAAAAATTAGGGCCAAATATGTCATAGTTTGAAGGACTTTAGAAAAAATATTGTTTATTTCGATATACTTACACAAATATTTTTTGTATACATTTATTGTTCATTTATTTTGTAAAACGGAACATTTTGCTTTTTAAACAGACATAAAGTAAATTTTTATACTTTTAAATATTTGATTATTTCACGAAAGTTGTATGAGAATAATAAACACGTAATAATTCATAAAAAAATATTGTAAAAATATGGGCTTGTGCGAAATATTTATACACGTTAAGGGCAGTTTCTTAGCCAAGTCCTTTACATCTACAACATTTATGCATTTTTATTAGTTGGGAAATATCACGTTTAAAGATTGAAGAGTAAATGAATTTGATTTGTGATTTATATTTATTTTACTATATTTATCTAAAGATTTTCCCCCTCATATTATATAGATACTTATATTTTTGACATTGTAATTCGATTCTCTCTTATAAAGTCGCCGGCGGGTATGATCACAAGACATCGTTTGAACTTTACTTGTGGACGGGTCTCCTTGAATTTTAAGACCGATCCTATTAAAAGTTTGTGAGAGTATTAGAATTTCGAATGAGGGGCGAAAAGCTATCACGCCATTTTTCCGGATCTCCCCTCTGCCACAGCGAGCAGCGGGCGGTGGAGGCCCCGAGGTGCGGATTTCGAGATTATGCTTCGCTATCTGTTTTGAATTCGTAATTTCAACATAATTAATTTAGAAAATTCTAATTCAATTTATTTTAAAAGTTATTAAACAAGTTCTAAACTATCTTTATGAATGTTAGTAATCGAAAAACCGTTTCGCAACCGGATCACATTTTTTACACTTTTAAAACAATGAAACTCAAGATATTTATTTCTCCTAAACAAAAAATAAATAAATTTGAACGTTGTAATATTTAAAAATTAACTTTTCAGCCGTGTTAATATTCTCGGTTTTATTTTGACAGCGTTGACTAATGCGGTCGTTTATTTTTATAGCTGGTTTATTTACAGACACGCGTGTTTCTTGCTAGAAGGTGGGCTCGAACGCTCTATTATTGCTTGCCGACACGACATCAGTCATCGCGCTAATATCTCTGATTATTATCCATTTTATGTAACGTTGTTTTGAAGAGCTGCCAACATACATCGCCGTTGATAGACATTTCTTCTATTTTATAAATTCAAATAAAAGAAGTAGCTTTTAACGCAAATCAAATTTATTTGACGATCCTTAATAAGTACACTGATTAGGTTACCTTGATACTGTTTTATTAAAACAGATTTCATTTAAAGAGACTGAGCTGAAACGCCATATTTACCTCACCATCTTTACAACTGGACTCCGCTTACAGCAGGCGAAGTGGCATAATTTGCTAGGCCTTTTCCAGAACAAATTATATTAAAGGAATTATTTGTTTTGTGTAAATAACGTTTAAAAATAATGTGATATTCGGCACCTTTGAATGTTCTTATGCACCGCGAACCGGATGCCGAGCCGCCGCTAGGCAGCACGCGTAGCCCATACTTGATTTATCACTCCATTGTTGCGGAGCGACGACCCACCCCCACCGGATAAGGCTAAACATTCAATTGCCGGAACGCTCCCGAAACGATTTGTTCCTTCAATAGGATCGATTGACTATTTTCTTCCGGTCACCTCTGCATTCAGAGATGGCATGAATCTTAGAAAACATGTCACTAAAATATGTAGGTAACATATATTTTTTAAGATTCTGTTAACTAGTTGACGTCGTTTATAATTAAGACGATGTTATATATAGATTCAAAATTCTTTTGTAGGTATATATAATATGTAAATTAGCCACTGCAACATACTTCGCGTGGTCACATTGCGGAGACAATGCTCCTTAAACTGTGCTCCTCGTAAATGGTGCGGTTGCCCAGCTAGTTTTATTGAGCCATTCTCTCGCTTGCTCGTAATATTTCCAAGTAATTACTTTCAACTCCCCTCGAACACTCGGGAGTGTGTTGTGGAGACATAAATATATTTTTCAAGATGTTGCTTTCACATTGTTCAAACAAATTACGGCCGATGTTAGAAATTTTAATTGCTTATCTAGTTATTCCAGCTGATTAAATTATGATATTAATTTTAAACTAACATGCAATACAGAAGGTACATAAGTATCTCTTATCTATTAGACAAGTCCGTCCGTCTGTGGTGCTGTTTCAGCGGCCAAACCGTAAGCGATAGATAAAGAGAATATTTAAGTTATAAGTTAAGAATAGTCTGATAAGACTACAAACCGGCTTTGAGTAACTTAGCATTTCCGGTTTTCGAGAAATCACGAATTTCAAACGAAACCACACAAAATCTCCGAAGTTCTCAATTAATTAAATACATTTTTTTTATTTAAATCAGGTTTTGGTGAACATTTGGTTCAATGGTTTGCTAGTTTTTTTAATAATAATTCAAAGAACTCCGTTAAGTTTGCTAGGTACGACGCACCTTAAGAAATTCTTATTTTGCTTACAAACATCTGATAGATTTAATGTATTGTTTTATCGAAGTACTCTATTACGAATTCAACGCCTACGCGTATACTACATTATCTGCCAAGCAATAACAATTTAATGGACTATCAAAGTTCCCATTAAAATTCCGACACATTCTTACATTAATTTATGAATAATGGTATACTACTTGAGTTTCGGTTATAATTCTCATTGGCGTCTCTTTATGTGTCCGACGCGATTTCATCTTTCATCTGTAGAATACTAAAAACCCGTGGGTGGTTATTGTGTTAGGCTCGAACAATGGGCATACAGTTTTAGAATGCTAATTAGTACACAATATAGACCGAAGTCTGCTAGTTGCAAACCGTTATCTGTATTCATAACCATAGTTATTGCCTTTACTATTGCTGAATTGGTCACGCTCATCAATGTCATGGAGAAACCGTAAAAAGACTATTTAAAATGAAAAGCTTTAATCTTGTGACCCAGTTGTTTCTGTCATTTTATTTTCGCAAACATTAATAAAAATTGATATTGATATATCATAATTATTTAACAGGTAAAATCCATAGAGGTTAAGAATAGAGTGGGGAAGGCGGCTCTAAAAGTGTCCGTCTAGTAGAAAGAGAAAGAAAATGAGAGACCGCTAGCTCTCTCTCTCTTGTGACGCATGGCATCCAGTGGCATCACATCGAAATAGTAAGACGCTAACGGTTGCCAATGCGCATGCGCGATTAGAGAGAGAAAGCTAACGGTCTTTCATCTTCTTTCTATTAGAGGGACACTTCCACTTGTAGTAGAGTCTATATCTCCCCTACTCTATTTTTATACCCCTATGGTAAAATCTCATCAAATAAAATCTTATCTGTCAAATAAGTAAAATGATTTTTTGGGAGTCAAGCGAGTTTTTTTTAACATCGCGGCATCGGTTATGTAAATTCTTTAAATAAATTAAACGTTTAATTGTCGTTTTATATAAATGTTTTTTGTTACAGGCGAGTCCGGAAAGTAGTAGAAATGCATCACCAAGATATAATGATGTATCAATGGATGATGTAAGTAATAGATTCTTTATATGTTTTTGTAATGTAGTGTACTTTATACTAGTTTAGTTTAAATTATTGCAAAAAAATTCGTTCTCGATTCCTAAACAGAGATTAGAACCAGTCTGCTATCCACTCGTATTTTTTTCTTTTAACAAGCGTGAAATCATGCAGCATGTAATCTAAGGCGACAAGATGCAAAACGGTATTATTGTGGTTGTGGCACTGAGTATGGAATCAAAACGCATTTATTTCAATGTTAGTAGTAAAAAAAGATTGGTCTTGTAGTTCTACGCTTCTACGACACATTGTGTTATAAACCTTTGTGTGGCTTTTTTGTGTTCGTGTTGTGATATGGAAGTTCTTATGTGTACCGTAAGAAAATTTACGAAGAGGCCATTAATAAAAAAAAGCCTATAACATGTGAGTTTTTGCTCAGATACTTTTTTTTGGTCTCTCAGCATGTCTTTATATTTTTTTTCTCGCTCGTTTGCTCGCTAAGCGTCCAGCCATAGAATTTAGACACATGCAATATTAAGGAGAATTACTTGTGCGTATCTTTAGAACTGGCAAACGTAAAAAGAAAACACTAGATTATGGGATTTGGTTACAGTTTTGTATAAAGTGACGGATACTTCCACCAATCTAATAAAGAATGGAACCTACCAAATCAACTGAAACGAGTAAAAATTTCAAAACATTCTTTGTTAAATTTCCAGGCATCAGACGCAGGCTCTCTGTTCCGGGTAACGGGCGCGGGTGCTGGTGGTGCCGGCGGCAAAAACGAGTTAGTGGCGCGGGGAGGCAGCGGCGGCGCGCTGGCTCTGTCGCGCGCCCCCGTCGGCGGCAGCGCCAGCCCCGCGCCTGCGCCCCTTCCGCAACCAGCGCCATCGCCCGCGCCCGCCGCGTTGCCACCGCCCGCGCTCCCTCCGCCACCGTTCCGAGCAGACACGCCGCACAGAAACAACGGCGCACACATTCCCACCATCGATGGTCACGCCGCCACTCAAATACCTGCTCGACCTGTCGGTGCCGCAGGACCCGATACTCCCGAGCGCCCAGCTAGCAATAACAAATTACAACCGGGTGCTCGCGCTGCTGCCGATAGCCCGACTCCGGCGCCGCCAGCACCTCCCGCGCCGTCGCCGCTCTTCCCCTCGCACACCGCCTATCAGTCGCATGCCACAGCTGCGTTGCCTGACTACCGTCACACTAACCATGAGACGCGGACAGAACAACCGGAACAGCCGTCAGCGCCCCTCGACTTGCATGCGCACCACGCGCCGCGCCCGCCGCCGGCGGCACCACCACCGACTACAACTCAGGCCTCTCACCCTAGTCTACCTAGCCGCGTAACGCACCCGATGATACCTGCCCAAGACATCCGAAACACAACATCGGCCGCTCAGAACCACCCCTCCGTTCCTACCTCGTACCCCAACCGCGTAAACGGTATGCCACCTAGTGTCACGCCGCATTCGACGCCATCCTCGAACACCAACTGTCTTCCGAGTCAAACCTTGGCCGGTAGGCCGGCCTCTCCGGTCGCTCCGACCTCTCGTCCTTATCCCGCTCCGTCGATTGGGTCTAGTCATATAAACACGAGTATAAGTTCCAGTATTCACATGCCCTATCAGACTCAACCAAGTTTGCAGAAACATTCCGTTCCGTCAGCATACGCGAATCGACCTCCACATCTCGCTCCCTTTAGTGTGAGTAATCACCTCACTTCGAATCACGTCTTGACTTCATCTTCAGGTCAGTCTTTAACACCTTTAGGCCATCCGCTGAATAGCCATTCCGTTATGAATCACACAAGCCATCTTTCTCTAAGCAACAGTAGTCCATTGACAGCGACGTCAACTCCAAATCACATAGGTCCACCACTCTCTTTGTCCTCAACGACCAGCACGATATCGAGTTTTACGACAAGCCTTAAACATCCTAGTCTCAGTTTGCCTCCCCACGCGGTCCCGTTGGGCCCCCCTGTGTCGTTACACGCTCCGATGAATCACGTGGAAACATCACTGGCCACGAGTGTGGCTCCGAGCATCACTCCCGTCACAAGTAGTAGTAATCACGCGCTGGCGCCGCCGGTGGTAGACTCAAGGCAAGCGGTGGTATCGTCGAGCGAGCTTCCCTCAAGGACTGAGAGCCCGTCGGTGACGTCACTCGCTTCCAACGGGTTCCCACCGCCGGCTGTGTACTCCGGGACCAGCTACCCGCCGTTATATGCGCCTTACGCCACCACACTGCAGCACAGCCCATACCTGCCACCTGCAGCAGCATCTCCAAGGAACACTACAGACACGGTACGTTATTACACCATGCATACATTGAAATACCAATTTGATGATTTAAGATGATTAAAAACATATTAGAAAATAAAATATAACGTTTTTTCTCGACCTTAAAATGTTGTGTACAAGTCCTAATTGTTTTTGCTTTTTACTGGAGGTATGTAGATATTTACGTGTCTTTAATATTTCAGAGGACAAGCCTATCAGCATCGCCGCTAGTGGCCCCCAAAACGCCTAAAGGAGTGCGGCCCCACACGCCCGGTTCGACGGGCGCTGCGGGCTCGGCACCGTCACATGCGCCCCTCTCGTACTCGCCACGAGGACACAGCCCGAACAGAGAGCGGGAAAGTTTCAGGTACGCACACGGCAAAGTTGTTAAATGATCCTCCGATCCTAAGATGCCTAGAAGAGGGCGACCCACACACTCAGGTCGACGGGCGCTGCGGGTTCAGTGCTGTCACACACGATTGGTATTAGTTTAGCTCTAAATCTTTGACTATAACAGAAAATAAATTGCTAGCCAGTGGTCTACTATATTTAGAATCTACTGTGCACACTGTCAGATTTACGAGCTTAAAAGCTTCTAAAGAAATAAAACGTTATAAATTAAGTTTCATCGGTTCCAGTATTTCTGTCTGTAACCAAATCATTCAAATTAACTTTTTAAATATGAACCTTTTCCTGGTGTCTGAATGAGCTTTAATGTTACATAAAATTTTGCAGGCCAATTTTACAGGTATACTAGCTTTTGCATAAATATATCCAATTAGTTTGACACGTTGGACGGGCTGATTTCAGCAGCAACATCAGCAGTCTGTCGCGCAGCACGCCGGCGTCGGCGGCCAGCGCGCCGTTGGCGGCGCCGCTCGCGCCGTCGCTCGTCGCGCCGCTCGCCGCACCGCTAGCGGTCAGTCGCCATTGTTCTATTCCTAACGTTTATATTATTACAAACAATACATGTTATCACATTGAGGTTCACCTTTTGTTGCATCACAGATCAGACAAATAAATATTTCCTACACTCCCACCAATTAGCCTAACCCTATATATATATAATAAATATACTTGTAAGAAAAAATAATCATTTGTTTCTTAAAAACAGTGATGTTCACACAATTAATACAAGAAACAAAAATAAACTAACTTTACCTGCTACTAGGCTTCACAAAATTAATAATTCATTTAAAGGTCTTTGTGTTCGCTTATACAATAAAGTCCCAAGCAATATCCAAGAGTTAGCCATAAATAAATTTAAAGATATTATAAAAAAAAACACTTATTAAAAAAGCTTATTACAAAGTGTCTGATTATATTGCAGACAAAAATGCTTGGGTTTGAACTGTTCCAATCATTCCAACAGGTTTTCTATATTAAATAAATCATAATTGTATTGACGTTGTAACAACATAATGAATTGTAAATGTTGTTACACTAGACTTTTAATTTTGTGGAGTTTTTTTCACTCGTTTTTCTCCGCAGCTAAAAAATATGTCCATAATGAGTGGTAGGAAAAAAAATTTTTGGACGATTCAAAAGAGTTGTACTATACATCCAATTTGAATAAAGATATATTGATTTCTGATTTCTATATATATTATATATAAACATCCATGACTAATGTACAAATGCTCGTATTCGTCATACTAACATTTGCCCCCACCAGATTCCGAACCCTTTCGAGTAGGCGAAATCTTGAAACCCGGCGTATGGCATATACGCCGGGTTTCAAGATTTCGCCTTACTACTACACACAAATTACATTTTCTTTACACTTCGATGTTACCGCCGTTATCTGTTACATAAAATGGTGATTAATTTATCCATATTTTTTTACGAAATTAATGTAATCACATTATGTATTTAATATATCACAAGTTTTTGTTACCTTTTAATATTATGTAATTAAAAGGTAATATTTTATACTCATATAATTTTGTGTTACCTGAAATATATTTTTAATTTTATTTATTTAGAAGTAATTGATAGATATCAAGTTCCGAATATTAATTATTACATCACCATGTTGTTTAAAAAAATAAAATAAAGTAGTGTCTGTGTGTAATCTCGACCTTCAATAAAATTATGATTATAAAATATGAAATAAACTTCATATTCAGCATATCATTATTTGTTTAAGATGTTTAAATGACTTATAGGGCGTTTATTTTCAGGCGCCGCTCAGCTCCGGGCTAGGCGCGCCTCTAGCCGGCCCGCTGGTCGCACCGCTGGGTGCGCCGCTCGCCGCGCCCACGCCCACGCCCGCAGCACCCACGCCCACGCACCTCACGCACTCCCTCGCGCCCGTGCCCACTGTGCCCAGCATCAGTTCCAGCGCCAAACCGCCCGCCCACTGGGGGGTAACGTGAGTACAACACATGCGACATTCATGTAATATATCCACACACTGCCCCGCTGCTGCCCTACGCCCACGCACATAACGCACTCCCTCGCGACCGTGCCCAGCATCAGCTCCAATGCCAAACCGCCCACCCACTGGGGGGTAACGTGAGTGCAACACATGCGACATTCATGTAATATATCCACACACTGCCCCGCTGCTGCCCTACGCCCACTCACATCACGCACTCCCTCACGACCGTGCCCAGCATCAGCTCCAGTGCCAAACCGCCCGCCCACTGGGGGGTAACTTGAGTACAACACATGCGTCATTCATGTAATATATCCACACACTGCCCCGCTGCTGCCATACGCCCACGCACATCACGTACTCCCTTGCGACCGTGCCCAGCATCAGCTCCAATGCCAAACCGCCCGCCCACTGGGGGGTAACGTGAGTACAACACATGCGACATTCATGTAATATATCCACACACTGCCCCGCTGCTGCCCTACGCCCACGCACATCACGTAATCCCTCGCGACCGTGCCCAGCATCAGCTCCAATACCAAACCGCCCGCCCACTGGGGGGTAACGTGAGTACAACACATGCGACATTCATGTAATATATCCACACACTGCCCCGCTGCTGCCCTACGCCCACGGACATCACGTACTCCCTCGCGACCGTGCCCAGCATCAGCTCCAATGCCAAACCGCCCGCCCACTGGGGGGTAACGTGAGTACAACACATGCGACATTCATGTAATATATCCACACACTCCCCCTGCTGCTGCCCTACGCCCACGTACATCACGCACTCCCTCGCGACCATGCCCAGCATCAGCTCCAGTGCCAAACCGCCCGCCCACTGGGGGGTAACGTGAGTACAACACATGCGACATTCATGTAATATATCCACACACTGCTCCGCTGCTGCCCTACGCCCACGAACATAACGCACTCCCTCGCGACCGTGCCCAGCATCAGCTCCAATGCCAAACCGCCCGCCCCCAGGGGGGGGTAACGTGAGTACAACACATGCGACATTCATGTAATATATCCACACACTGCCCCGCTGCTGCCCTACGCCCACTCACATCACGCACTCCCTCACGACCGTGCCCAGCATCAGCTCCAGTGCCAAACCGCCCGCCCACTGGGGGGTAACGTGAGTACAACACATGCGACATTCATGTAATATATCCACACACTGCCCCACGCCAATTTTACATTTGTCTGAAAAAAAACACAAACCCATAAAAAATTCAAGAAGTTTTGTATGATGACTTGTTACGTCCGTTGTGGCGCTGTTCAAATTTTCATCTTGACCTTTGACGCGTATCGATATCGAATTCAACTATTCGAATTCGACATTGGTTCGTGCTAAGGGTACTGCTTCCGTACGGTTGTAAAATTGTTAGTTGTTCCTTCCAGCAGACCTACGGCGTCGGACCGCGTGAGTGGGTTTGCGCCCGCACCGCCGCTGTTTGGGGCGCCGCTAGCGCCGCCTAATCCGAATCCTTTCTCCGCCGAATCGCTCTTCCAATCTAGTAAGTGGAAAAGTTTTTTGTATTTTATTAATTTCGGTTTGTTTAAGAATTTTCCCAGTTCACTAAAACCTTTATTTCAATGTGTAAAAAATAGAACATGTGCTTAACAATCAATCATCAATAAATTCTGCAAAACATTTACGCTGTTAGTCAGCACAGCAGTCAGTTTAAATACAAGTAACTGCAAAACTCGAGGTGCTTGATGGCGCGTTTGGTTAGCGATCATTTAAGTTAAGCAACTTTCTTTATGGTCTGTCAATGATGGGTGATCAAAAAATATTATCTCAAGTTCTTCTGTGTTTCAGAAGAGACGTTAAGCCATTGTTCCCAGCTGCATTTACCCACTTATCCGCACTGAACCCGCGTGGTGGGTATTTCCTTATTTCAGTCATAGGGAAGGCCTGTGCTTTAGCAGTGGAGATGCTAACCCTTAAACACAGGTCTCATAGACCGCAACGCATTTTAGATCCATAATTTTTCTGTGTGCTGGTCGTGATGACAAGAGCGCCTATTTGCATTTTCTAGGCATTACATAGTATCAAACATGTGCTCGATAATTATAAACTTGCATATGTCTGCTCTGGGTAAGTAAAAATATTTTGCCAGCGGCCTCCGAGGCCGTATACGTACGCGGTTAAAAAAAAAAAGTGGTAAGGAGTTAATGGGCTGATAACAATAATAATATTTCCAACATTCACACTAATCAGCCTAGCCCAAAGTAAGCACTGTAAGGCTTGTATTATGGGATACTAGGGTAACGGATAGAATACATATACTGTACATATATAAGTATATTTATATAGAAATACATTATTATACATCCATGACTGGAGTACAAATGCTCGTATTCATCACACAAACATCTGCCCCCACCGGGATTCGAACCTGGGACCTCTCGTGTCGGTGACACCATGAAACCCGGCGTACCAACCACTCTGCCACGGAGGCCAACGGAGGATGATGATAAACTCCAAAACGTCGCTTTGAACGCCGATACTGGTCGCATTTCAGGTCCGGGCGCGGACTTGCTCAGGCGCGAGCTCGACAACCGGTTCTTGGCTGCGGCGGGCGCGCGCACCGAGCTGCACCACCACCAGCACCAGCACACGCACGTGCACCAGCACCCGCCGCACGCGCCGCCCCACCCGCACGCGCCGCCGCACGCGCCCGCCCACGCGTCCCCGCACCACCCGCACCAGCTGCTGGTGCCGCACGCGCCGCTCGTGAGTACCGCCCGTCTGTCACATCCCACCGACTACACAGCATAGAGGTATAAGAATAGAGTAGGGGAGATATAGACTCTACTACAAGTGGAAGTGTCCCTCTAATAGAAAGAGAAAGAAAATGAGATACCGCTAGCTTTCTCTCTCTAATCGCGCATGCGCATTGGCAACCGTAAGCATCTTACTATTTCGATGTGATGCGATAAATAAGATAAATAAAGATTACCACTTACACGAATCTCTGCTCCAACACCACCCTAAACTAAGGCGACTGTTCGCTGTCCACGCGGCGACAGCTAGCAAGCACCCAGCTGTCCACGCGCCGTCAGAAAGCTGTCAGCTAATGCATTGGTAGTGATGCAAGAATGACCTACTAGCAGTCAGCGCGGATACTTTGCAGACCGCTTTATTGCAGCGCATGGTAAGCTAGGCATCAACTATCGAACAGTTTGACGGCGGTAAATTCGCTGTCAGCTAATATATGTTAGCAATGTAAAGAATATCTAAAGAGCAATAGTTAAGCCCATATTTGAATTATATCCTTTCTTCTAGATGCGAGCGGAGTCGTGTAGGTGGGCTTCGACCTTAAATAATCCCGCACGGAAATATTTACCCTTGTCAACCACTATCGTACGCGTTTGGAGTGCAAAAAACGTTTAAATTTAAAGTCCAATTGGCACCGTGTACCATCGTCATATCACTTACTTACATTATGAACGTGTATTAGCCTAACAAGGGCAGTTGCTAGAATGCTATAAGTACAGTAAATATAACGTTAGGCGTCTAGGGGCTGTGTAGTCAGTGGTCTATCCCAAGGATCACCCGCATTAAAGACCGCATAAAAGGGCACGCAAACGCCATGTGACATTCCACACGTCGACTTACCACAATACCTCGTTTATATAGACATCATTCTCGCGGCAATTAGCAGGGACAAGGCATATAAAATAGGAAATGCAAGCACGTCAACATCAACGGCACTGTAAGGGACCGATTTAGAGGCCGCATCGATTGCCGTTGATTTATCAATCTCTTAAAGGCGATTTTGTGCGAACATCAAATAGCGCAGTATAAGCGCGACTGTTTCTGTCCCACTCACACACCACCTCTCTCATATCATGATCTAGGTGATTCAATACGAGCAAAGAACGCATTGTGCCTTACCGCCGTTACAACTTACTTTTGAAAAAATCTCTTGTTGTCCTTTGATATTAACCAATATTAATTGATTATTCAACTTGTATAAAATACTAGTTGTGCCCCGCGGTTTCTTAGGGATATCCCGCAGTAAAACGTAGCCTATGTGTTAATCCAGGGTGTCAGTTAACTCCATAGCAAATTTTATTAAAATCGCTCCACCCGTTTAGACGTGAAGAAGTAACAAACATACACAGTCACAAATTTTCGCCTTTATAATATTAGTGTGATTCCACATAATTAATCTGTTTTTTTCTTGCAGTTCAAAGACGTGGGAAAAATGTCATCACTATATCGCGGTGGTCTTGGACTCGGCTACCCTTACTCTTCTAGTTTGCTTCATCCCACTGCTCCTTACGTGCCTCCAGCGCCACTCACAACCTACGCACCGAAGGTAAATATCCAGTTATTGTGTTGTTTTATAGATTATCTAATCACGTTAAATGTAAATATAAGTAATTTGAAATCATGTTTTTATATCCCCTTTACATGTTCTAATGTTCCATTATTTTTTTCGTCTTTTAACTAGATATTCATCTAAAAGATGAAAGTTAGCCAAGAGCATCAACTGATTAATCCAGTGTTCATTAAAGCTATGATGGGGTTTTATTTTAACCATGAGATTATTCTGATACAGCATTCTCTGGCTATCTTTTTACTTTAGTACTTCCATATTCATGAACAGTAGTCCTATGGTTCAGTAGTAACATCATGTAAAACCTTTCATTCTTTCTTTTACTGTCTAGCTTCAAGCTTACTTTTGTATTTTATGTTGCTCTGTGATCATTAACCCTGCTACGCATCATGTTAACAGCCCGTAGTGTCGGCCGCAAGCGACCCTGCCACTAAACCACCACCACGTCCCGCTGTCTCGGTAGGTTTCCTTTTCACCACTTCTCTATATCATGCATGCCGTTCACTTCAAATTTACAGTTATTTTTACTTTGAAAGAAATTTTCTTTATGCAACAATCACATTTCCATTACAGAAAACTGGAAAATGGAACGCTATGCACGTAAGGATCGCGTGGGAGATCTACAACCATCAACAGAAAGAGAAGTCAGGAGGTAGCACGGTGCCCCCGGGAGCCGTCGCCGCCGCCGCCGCTGACAAGGACAAGCTGCGCGCCTTCCCCGCGCCTGCGCCGCCCCCACCCGCCGCCTACCGCTCGCCCTACGACCTGCCTCCACCCTATCTTCCGCACCACCCGCATCTAGGTGCCGTCCGATACGACGACGCCCGCAACGCCGCTCTCGTCAGCGCACCTCTAGTCGCGCCCACTGACCGAGGCTTGCGCGTTTCAGGCGTCTCGCCGTTCGGACGATACGGCGCCGGCGCCTTCCCGGGGGCGCCGACCGCCTACGGACTATCTGCCTACGGGCGCGAGTTCGCACTCTCCTCGTTGCATGGCGTGCACCACCCACCGCCATTGGGGGCGCTGCACGACGCATGGCGCGGCGTGCGCCCTCCAGTCTCCGCCGCCGCAGACGTGCGCCGCGAGCACGAGGAGCGCGAGCGCGCGCGTCGCGAACGGGAAGAACGGGAACGGCGCGATCGCGAGGACCGGGAGCGACGCAAAGCTCGGGAAAGAGACCTCGAACGCGTCCGCACGCGGTCGCCGCTGCGCAACGGCACCGTAGATATGACCAAGGATGAGCGGAAGGAGCCGCCGCGACCGCCGCCGGCCGCTCTGCCAGCTTACCCGCCGCCGCCGGCGCCGTGGGACCCGTACCGACCGTTCGACCCGCTGCAGCACATGCGGTTCGCGCCGCTAGTGGAGGCGGCCATCCGCGCGGAGGAAGACCGCGCAAAGATGCTGAGCGCGTACGCGCACCACCAGCAGCTCAAGTCCAGCCCGCTGTTGCACCGCGCGCTGCCGCCGCACGCGCCGCTGCCACCGCTGGGCGCGCACGCGTCACTGGCCCCGCTGGCGCCGCCGCTGGCCCCACTAGCCCCGCTGGCCCCGCTCGACCTGCTCAAGAAGGAGGAGCCACGATGATAGCGAAGCGCCGCGACCGCCGCGCCGTCTCCCCCCATGTACATAGAGTAGTGTAAACGACGTCGCGAGTGAGAGTTCGACTAATTTGATGTATATCGTTTCGCATTATCGGTTTAGAGAATTATTTATTGTAACGTCGCTTGCCGAACGACGGTCGCTAGTCTCGTCGCCCCGCCCGCCGCGTCGTGTTCGTAGTGTAATGGTTAGTGCAGCGGCCGAGAGTGCAATATGGGACGAGGACTCCGGGCGGAGGTGCCGCCGGCCTGTACACTACCGCTTGTTTATTTACTTGAAATATCTATCGAGTTGTTATTGTGACCATTATTAGTTAATTATACATCAAATCGCTGATTATGTGAAGGATAGGATTATCAGAATCGCTATCGATATAATTATACATATTTATATATACTTATAAATAAAATGTAAATATTAGTATGTAAATTAGTGTTATAATATAGAATTGGTTTATTTAACGTCATACAAAGGAAAAAATCCCATAAATTATTATTGTATCGGGAGTTATAATTTAGACTTCCGTTAAAAATCTCATAATGGTTTTTCAATTGTACCAGTGGAGTTTTATTTATTTATTTATACTCCTCTAAATAGTGACATCATGAGTTAAAAAAGGAAACAACTTGTTATAAATAGTGATTGATACTTCATTTTTGCATTTAAAGTTGTGATATTATTGTAACTTGAAACACATTTTGTCTGACTTCAAAGTAGTGTGTATTATCTGGTATTATATAAATGTATTAAATGACAGTATGTTCAAAATTACAATTCCATAAATAGTCATTATACATTTTGTTATATAGTAATCAGTATCATTGGTATCAAACAACTTTGGCAACCCTATGTACAGTTCAGTATGTGCCATTTAAAGAATATTTATGAACATAGAGTCAGACAAAATTGGATTTAGAGTCAGATTTAAATGTGGCATGTCAGATGATTGCGTTATCAAAATGTCGAGAAGCAAATCCGAAAATGTATTATAGTTCACAAGATCATTCTGTATACTAAAAGGTAATGAAAGCTTGGTGCGATTCAGAAAATACCATTAAAACTTTTGATTTTTATACCAAGAAGATTTTTTGTTCCATCCAACCCAATAGCCATCTGAAACCATGGAGACTTAGGCTTGTCCATTAACCCAGCAGCACCAACAAACTAAAGTTCAGACAGCCACACATAAATAATAATAATAAATATTTCCAACACACACCAATTAGCCTAGCCCCAAAGTAAGCACTGTAATAATAGGGGAGCCCAAGAGGGGATTTGAGGATTTACTCGAGCGCGGCAGATTAATATATATCTTGCATCTAGTTGAGTACCTCTACCAAATCTGAGTTCTCCATGTAATGCCGCGCGCGTAGACAGACGGAAATACTCGAGCGCGTCAGATTAGGGTATGGTGGTTTAATTACATCCTGAAAAGTGTGTACAATAATCTGACGATTTGAGCGTGACGTAAGGGAGTGGGAGGGTTGCAAAGTTGCAAAAAAAAAGACGATGTCTAGACATTCTCGAGCGCGAAGGTTGATTTATTTTTAATTTAAAGGTAATAATTCATCCTTGAATCATCATCATGGAAAACATATAATCTGCCTATTTGGACAAGCCGAAATAACAAAAATCGTTAATAAGGTGTTGCGCGTGCAGCTGCAGCGAAGCATGTAGTTCATACTACGCGCCTCTCTCTATTTCGCTCTTTCTCTATCTTCCACTCTCTCGCACCGTCCTCACACCACTTTCTGTCTACCATTACGCTTTCACAGCACTCGTGAACCTCGTATTATATGTACAACGCTCTGGTTTGTTTGTTTAATTTGAATCTTTGTAAGTTTGATATTTACTATCACGAAGATGAGTGACAATATTATAAAGTGTGTGTTTTGTTGACAAAATAAATCTCAAAAGATTGTAAAATTTACATCGGAAACAATAAGGAAATGCAAGACGGTTTTGGAGTATCGTCGGAGTAAACCTACTCTCAGAAGATCGAGTACAACGTACGATAATCTTGAACTTCCGGATGAACATCATTTTTTACAATGAGTGTATCTTGGCCTAATTTAACCCTTACTTCACACTTAACATCAGGGGGCCAATCACCTAACGGAATTGCTATGGCTATCGCTACCGTTATTGACAAATTCAGGTAACCGGTGGCTCTCTGTATCTACATTAATAGGAATTTCGTAAAAACGATATCGAACTATTATTAATTAAATAATTGACAATTTATATTTCTAGGTTTGTTAATTAAACAATCGACGACCTCCGTAGCCGAGTGATATGTACGCCGGGTTTCAAGGTGTCGCCATCTCAGTGGTCCCAGGTTCGAATCCCGGTAGGGGCAAACGTTAGTATGATGAATTCGAATATTTTTTACTTTAACCTGTTGTTCACACCAAGAACAAGTCATATACTAGTTTAAACAATGTAACGTTTTACGTTAATATAGGCCTTAATAACAATAACTTTAAAAATTTAATCTAAATATTCTTCAATTTTAACGTAAACTGCGTCAAAGGCAAATTCTTAATTCTATATGTTAATCTAAAATCAATAAATAAATACATAAAATAGGAAAGCCGCGTGTTAAATGGAATGCGTAGATTGCTATGCGAATATTAGTCGCGGCATGAAACTAGCACCGTTGTTGCGCAGAAGTGAAAATGAAGATGTCTGATGATGGGAGGAAACGAGGTGCGCGGGTGGGCGTGCGTTGCACCGATTGGCTCTGCAGTCGTACCCATGCGCAGCTATCCCCTCCGCGTTTTGTCCAGCGCTAGAGTTACGTGCCGCGACCTGTACGTCTGTTTTGTTTGCACATTGGCAAGATAATTGTACTGCCAAAATAAAGTATTGTAACAAGATTTAGAAAGGAATGGGAAAGACTACGCGTGGGAAGATGATGATCCAGTTATGGATGCTATTGCAGAAATACATCTTATGTAGTAAATATTGTAATTTTCATTCTGGGCATTTGTGTTTCCCATATTCCTCTATGGTGCTGAGACGTGGACCCTACGAAAGAGTGGGAAAAAGAAGATAGACGCTCTAGAAATGTGGTGCTGGAGGAAAATGCTTGGCATACAGTGGACACAATTCCGAACCAATGCATCCCATCCTCCAGGAACTGTCCATCAAACAACGTCTGTCTTCCATCGTACAAGCTCGTATTCTGGCAAAGTAGAGGTTGTAAAGGCGCGCGGCAGATCGTGCAGTGCCGCTTTTATCTGGACTGACCAGATAAACGCGGCACTGAACGGTCCACTTCACGAGTGCACGAGAAAGGCCACTTGGACGAATGGCAGCGTATTTTGAAGCGCGCCACCAACCCTGATGTCACGACCATGACAACTCTGTCAAGAGTGTAGCGCCGAAGAAGAAGAATTTGTATTTTTCATAAAAAATTTGCATGTTGGAGGTCTTTTCTTTAAAATCCTTCGGGATGAATCGGTAAAGGGGGATTTCGGGAAAGATTTGGGGGGAAGGCGAAATGGCTTTCTGGTAACACTGCGCAGCATTATTTGAATTATAGTCTGAGCCAGGGACTGCTAGTGTGCCCTCGCGTTCCTTGTTCTCCAAAAAAGTACACCGCGAGTAAACTAACGTCCAATAGTTTCCCGCTGGGGTGAGATTTTTTATTACTGTCTAAGATTAATAACAGTTGTACTGATGTTCTCCTCTCTAAAAAGCTGACGTAAACATTATGTAACGCCAGTCTGTCCCACTCCTATTTAAATTCTTAACCGTTGGCCGTTGGGACCGTCTTGAGAGTCCAAGAGCAATTACTAAGGTGCTGCCCTTTAGGTTCTTGTTGCCAAGACTACCCTTATCGTATTAAGAAGAGGGACTCTTGTTTCCCTAAGGTAGCCCGAGGATCTTCAGCCGGGAAACAACAGCACCATTTGAAATCATAACAGAAATTCGTCGGCAGTACCCACCGACATTATTACTGACGTCTAAAGTTGGGGAAGGATCTGGACCTCCTACTGATCAGTGGAACGGATCCCACCAGGCCTGTCACCTTTTCTTTTACCCTCCCACCTGCGAAGACGCGACGACCACAGAACTGTAATTTGGGCACGGTAAAGAGATTTATTTACTACCAAGTAAATATTTTATTACCGAACCCACTACCTGTTTAGAGCATATTGGTATATATGCTCTAAGTTAGCGATGCGCGACTGTGAACCAAGAAGTGCTTGAGTGGTGTTCAAGCAATTCTTGATTGGGACACATTCTGAGCGCACGTGGAGTATCTAGGGTTTTTAATATCGTTGACTTAGGTACCTCACTTTAAACTGATGCGCTCGAGTAATTCCAACGATCGGTATTTTTTACCCGACTGCGCAATGCAAGAGCGCGAAGCGCGACGCGCAGACAGGGTATAGTGTTTAACAGTCTATTTATGTATGTTTGTTCCTTTGTGGCACACTAGAGACCAAACGCCTGGACCGATTTTGATGATTCATACATCAATCGATTCGTCTCAATCATGGGAGTGCTACTAAAGATATGATAGTAATCAAAATTCAATATGGCAAAATAAGGCGCCATATTGTGACGAAGTAAAAAAAATAAGTTGACAAAATATGTCGAGTGCTCGAATAAGGAATCCAATGGAACTGTTGCAATGACATATAGCTTTTTAGTTATGTATAATTTTGGAAGATGAAAAAATTAACATAATGGCGTCTTTGTCTAAAGTATGCAATGAGAGCAGTCCAACTCTATACAAAACAGTTTCGCTATGTTGGCAACATTTTTCGTGACGTGAGACGTGTGCCTTGTCCGCCATATTGTGCCGCTGTCTAAGTACCTGTGGTGTAAACATTGATTCCGTTGTCACTGTTTGATATTAAACATTAGTTCATGAATAAAATTGTTCTTGAAGATTGCGGTGAAATATTATATAAAACAATAGTGTACAATGCCTAATAAGTGCAGCATAATAAATTGTGGTGCAACAATAAGCAGAAATCGGCCAAATTTAACATTTCACCGGTAAGCATTTATTTAAAATTTATTAGTGTTTTCAGCCGTGCAATCAAGTCAAGGACACTTAAAATCATTTAAAGTATAGTTTATAGAGTAATTGAGTATGTATTTTTCGTAAAAAATATATTTCGGTTTGGTTTATATTGTATTTTGTTTTGACTGTAGTGATGGGTTTTGTTATATCGAACGATTTATCGATATTTTCTTACACGAAACACTTTTTCCTTTTGATTAATTTACATTCAATTCACACTCCTCAAGAGAAGCAATAATTAAGTGATTCTTGTTTCTCTCGAGTAGAGTGTGCACATAGGGGGGTTGCGTATAAAAAAAATCCATGCTTCCGATATCAAATTGACATTTATTACAATACAGAAAAAGATCTAATTTGTTAATTTTTTGATTTATTTTTGTTTCCAGACTGCCAGTAAGTAAAAACAAAAAAAAAATTTGGCTAGAGGTCATTGGAAAAGAAAATTTAAGAACAGATCTAAAACATATTTACATATGTTTTTTACATTTTCATCCAAACTCATTTAACAAGACATTGGATGTTATAAGATTAAAAGATGATGCAGTACCTTCGAATACCTAGACTGCCTTAATAATAATGTCACAAAATATGCAGAAAGTGTTGTGGCGTACATCGCAGGCTTTGTAGCCAGAAAATTATCCCGCACCATAAAATATGTAACTTGTGTGTCAATGTTATTTGGCGATGTGAAAGCAGTCATTGATAGCATATAAAAATCGAGGTGGCCTCGTGAATCCGTCTAAAGACGTTGAGGATGTTTGTAAAAAGACAGAAAAACATTTAAAATTTAATTTTAAGAAAACAAATTTTGAGAAATATTTGTAAATTTTTTCTTTTCTCATCGAAAATTATGGCGAAAATAATCAAGGTTTTGAAACCGATTCGAGCGATCATGATGTCAATCATAAATATTTATTAATAAAGAGTGTAATTAAAACATATATTGATATAAGGTTTAGATATTTTGGAAGGAAAAGTAAAAAAAATTTCGTTTAGAAATTACTTAAACAAAATTTTCTTTTTAGAAATGAATAATG